AAGTCGCTTTTTATAAATATGTCTCTTCTTATCCCAGGGAATAAAAAACACTTTTTCAATAAATATATAAAATATCGGTATTGGTATCTGTATCTGTCTAAAATGTCACAACTGGTGCACTTTATTAAATGCCTGCATTTGCCTGCAAACAGTTGCTATCAGAAAAAACATTTATTTGCATTGAATCATGTTGCATAATGATGCATGCACCTCTAATGCAGCCTTTGCCTTTTTTATGTATCTGTTTTTGATTAATTCCTCGTCGTTGAAAAAGGGAGGAAAAATCAACCATTCCCCCTCCACCGTACACTGTCTTTAGATGAATAGTTCAGTTCAGCTCTAGAACAAGCGTTTGCTTATCCATTAAATCCTGCTTCAGATGCAGTCCTAACACCCACCTTCAGCTCATATAGTTAAAGTGGGGAAAGCTTTTTTTTTTACTGATGCTACAGATACATGCAGGTTGCAACTCGTTCGCCCCCCGATCTCTGCTTACTTTTTTTTGGGGGGGGGGTCGTCGGTAAGTCACACAGTCACACAGTCACGACTTCTTCCAATCATGAGCAGAGTGGAGGCGAACTCAGAGCGTGGAGCCGCGAGCAACAGATGACTAGCAAAACAAACTGAATGGCGCTGTACAGCAGTCTGCGGGAGGTGATACAACCCTGGCGGCTCTATCACACGCAGCGGAGACTCAAACCAAACAGTTGAAATTGTCTCCTGAAGACAAACGAGGGAGCGCGTTAAAAGGGGAGGGTGAGCGGACGGTGTTACCTTGTTCGCAGCGGAGGAGGATTCAGACATTATCTCCAGTCAACTTCTCTCCACTTTTCCGTCGCGCGCTGTTCTTTATCTTCTTTCCTTTCTTATAGAAACCCGCACAGCTGCAGCGCGAGCGGCAGCCCGACTGCTCGGCTTGTGTTTGTGGGAGAAGTTGTTTTTTTCATGTAGCCCGCTTCTTTTCCTTTTTTTTCTTCCTCCTCCTTCCTTTATTTGCTGGCCGGGTCCATAGCGTGGTCGTCGGCGTGAAAACTTCTTTTGTCTGCGTGTGTTTTCCCTTCACATGTCGGCAGCGCGCTGGTTAATAATCCCTTCCTGGAAGAGCGAGACCGAAGAGAGAGAGAGCTCGGCGGACACCACTCTCTCTCTCTCTCGCTTTCTCTCACTCTCTCTCTCTCATTGATCTGGACGTGTGTAAAACGGCGAAATGACGTGAATTCCCAGCATTGAGCCTTGCCCCCTTTTAAAGGGAAACCCAAAGCAGGAAATCGCAGGCAGGTCGCGTTGCTACACACACAACTGCAGGCGAAGAGGCTAAAAAGACAGACTTGTTTTTTTTTAATTTGCCTTTTCTTTTAAATCAAAGCTTAAGGCAAATGCGGTTACACAAAATGCTAAAGCCTCACGCTTTAATTAGGCAGACGCAAAAATGCGAGTGAGCGTAGAAGGAATACATGGATTTAATATGAGATGAATTAGTTCACATTTACTGTAAAATCACTTCTGCTTAACTCATACTTTTTAAATCCCTTGTACGAAAGGTGTGACTGTAGTAATACTATAAGAAACAAACATAAGACTAAAAAGAATTTTAAAGTATTTGTTGTCAAGTGATTCAAAGAACTAGGCCACACCTCACTGGGCTGTTTTGGGGGGGGTTTAGGTTTGCTTTTTTAGCTTTATGAGAAAAAGCATATAGACTGTATGTTGAAAATGGACACAGCTACCTCAGAGCTCTGTGTTTGGAAAAAGAGATGAAAAACAGGATTTGTTTGGTTCTAAGCCAAAACAGCATTCTGCCTCTTTTATTTTTGCCAAAAATCATCCCTGCATTCAGTGAGTCACAAATACACAACATTGGTAGCACAGATTAAAAGATTTACGGTTTCGCTACCATTTAAGCTCAGTGCTAACTCAGGTTAACTGGAGATTGCTGGTGCTACTCTGACTTGAGGGGGGCTTTCCATGTTGAACTCAGAATTTCTAATGTTTTCGGACTACACCATGACCTTAGAACTGAAGAAGCTTCTCGGATGAGAGGTGAAACGTCTTCAAGCAACTTAAAGAAGTCCAGACGCATTTCTTTGCAAGCTCCTTTGACTACGATGACCTGGATGACTGAGAATCTTCACAGACACACCATAATATGTTACGTGGACCGTGTGTTCTACTTGCATTCTTTCCAATGGCCAGCAGGGGGCTACTCCTCTGAACGGATATTTAGAGATTTAAAAATCTAATATGGGTTATGACAATGCAGTTTGAAAACAATCTTGTTTTAGTGTCGTAACTTATTGTGGCTTACTCTTTTACACTCTACTCCCTTGGTTGCAAATTCATACCATTTAGCTCTGAAATCAGATATTGGAGGGGGTGTGATGTAACACTGAGTTAAGAGCAGTAATAAAGTCAAAAAAGCAAGGAAATGTGTGGCTTATTTAGCAAGTCACAAATGCCTAAGATTAGTGGTGCACTCTTCAAGTATTCCAGCGTTATTAAAGCTTACGTGCACTCCTGTGATCTTCTTTTATTAAGTAGGCATTGATGCTGCTTTAACTTTCCTAGATGGAAGTCCGGCTTGAGTGAGCATTCCAGCTGAATGATTCTGTTTTTCAAATGGGACGCACCAACAGAGATCCCCTGCACCGTGACGTCAGTAAACACATTTTTCTGATGACTTTATGACATTCATTCTGTAAACTATAGTCATTGTTAGAGTCATTAGAGATTCATAGATTTACATTGAAAGGAAGCATAAGTCTAAATCAGTTATCAGGCAGTATCTCTTGCCATTTTCTACACATCTTCCTGCTGAACCCCTATTGGTATAACCGGTTTGTGAGTTTTTTCTACAAATTCTTGGCTGTTGCTCAGTGAAATCTGATGGCGACAAAGAAGTCAAAAAGTGAGTATTGAACCAAACACCTCCATGTGATCGTGAGGCGATTGACTTGGCACCCACTCGCCAACTAGCTGAGTGGTAGTAAAGCTTGAAAAATGCAACACAAACTGGAAACAGAGGATGTGTGATTCAAAATGTGCAACTTTTACTTAGATGGCAAATGGTCTCCATTTCTGGTTTGTCTTGCACTTTTCACAGTTTCACCACCAACGAAAGATTTGACTAGAGCCAGACTGATAGAGGATTTTTAAGACCAATACTGATATTTAGCGCTTTAAAAATCGGATATATCACTCACTGTTTTTTCTTTGACAAAGACACACATATAGTTTCCTAACATTCGTTATGTCTTGTTGTTTATGAGTTTTTACAAATATAGAGTGACAGTGAAAAATAATCTTCTTTTATTTATTTATTATTATTTATTTTAATATCGGCCAATTAACATCCACGATTGATATAGCCTCCCCTACCAATATATCGGTAGGGGAGGCTATATATGTTCTACTGGCAAGTGTTTGCTTATAAGTTGGTGTCTTCCATTCAAACTGTGGGTTCCAACATTTTCCTAGCAAACAAAACAAGACCAAAAAGGGTTTTCGCCTGCTGGTCGGGTAATACACTTCCATTCAAAATGGAAGGCAAGAGTGGTTACCGATCATATCACTGGTGGTCAAACCTCAGGGCACAAACTGGGTATGTGTAATATGAAGTAATGACAAATACACTGGTAATTAACACCACTCTGCAGTTGTCCTCAGCCACATAAAATGCTCAGCCTCTTTTTTAGCCAAGTCAAGTGTTTTGATTTCATTTGGTTCTTGAATATTTGGGTTAGCAGTCCAAAATACTAGATTGAACTACTGGATTTACTACAGTTGGTCATTGTTATTAGTCATCTGTAAGCACTAATAGCTTGTTTTTCTGCCCCCCGATAATCAAAATTCAGTTGATATTGAAGAAGGAAACCGATCGATTATATAGGATATAGTTACTGTAAAATAAGTTCTTTGAACCAGGTAATGTCCTCCGAAATAATTTGATTTAAACATCTTAATCAAGTAAGGTGCTATGCATCTTAGACTGTTGACCAAATGACTATATAGTAGGCTACTTAACCTGGTCATTGTGATCCTCTTGGTCAGATTTGTCTGTATTTCTTTACGATACTAAAGAAAATGTTGCTTTTTCAGAGTAACAAGCATAATAGTTTCTGGTGGCAGCAGATGGTGGAAGAAGTGACAGGCAATAAAAAAGGAGGGGGGGGGGGGGGGGGGAGGAATGGAAAAATCACTTCCAACATGTTTATACTCCTCGGAGTAAGGGAGGGGAACAGGAAGCAATGAAGCTGGTGGGGAATGTGCTGCACGTTAACAAGAAAATGCAGATGAGTGATGCCAGGGAACTTTAAATGTTCCTCCTGCAGCTGGAGGCGAAGACCTGGTGAGCTGGTTTCCAGTGCTAATGAAACATATCCGTTATAATGTGCTGGAAGTTCATCTAAATGAGAAAATCAATTTAAAAGTCGACAGTAAATTTTTACATGAATTTCCGGTTAAAATACAGCACATATTGATTATAATAGGCAATAAGTCCAATCCTTCTTTTTGCATGTTTGAGGTGGAAACAAACTGCAGGCAGCAGCCGTTCTGCTGCATGTTTCAAGCTGGTGGGACTAACAGATGGCAATAATGGGATTACAATAATCGGATTTTTAAAAGTGGCATATGTAATCTTAAACACCTACTGTAAAAACACAGTAATCTGATTAGAGACTCTTTGAAGAGAAGAATGCAGAAAGCATTTAGATAAAATTAATGAGACTTGATTTTGTTATAGCATTACTGGAAATCTCTTCACTCTGTTCAGCTGTGAAGCGGAAGAAAGCCTTCTTTCTTCCCCTGTTCAGTCGAGGTGTGGGACGCATTAGGAGATCATACAGCGCGGTGACGCCCCCAAGTGGAAATCAGCAGCATTACAGCATCAGTTCAAGATAAAAAATAGTTCAGTTTCGCTTTCCAATCATCAGAAATGATACCGAAGTTTTCCTCCTCACATGAAGCTGTAGTCAGGCTGCGCTTTGGTCTCACAGGTGGAAGTTAACGCAGGCAGAGCTCGGAAACGATGGCGACAGAAATACTGAGAATGATCTGCGCCGGCCAAGGAGCAGTCAACACGGAGGATTTAGTGTATAATCTGTTTTCCGGCGATCCCACGAAGTTGTCGGAGATCATTTCGAACCGAGAGAAATTTGCTCGGTGTTGTCCAAACGGACAGGAGAAGGTGGTGGCCAGGACCCGCCTGAGACTTTGCAGAGGCAAAGACTGCCCGGGGACGTGCAGGGGTCTGCACCTGTGCAAAAACTTCCTCTTCGGATTCTGTGAGTTCAGCCAGCTCAGGTAAACATGCTGGACTTAAAGTAAATTATAGAGTTTATTGCATTGGAGTATTATTATTTCTGCACACTGTATCTGTATACAGAAAGCTGCATCTGACAGCTCAGGTGGAGGCAGGATTTCAAACTCTTTTATCGTGTAAACCTGATATCTGCATCGGTTGCTACTGACAACAAACAAGGTTTTGACACAATGGACTGAACCATGTTGTAATTGGGAGGAACACTATGCAATATTTGCCTTGGACATTGCCATACACCTGCCACATATATTGTAATAACTCAAATAACAGGAATAGAAATGAAGACACAAACAGATAAACAAGAGGAGCCTACAGAGAATTTATAGAGCTGTTCTTGAAAAAGCAAAACCAAAATCCCTTAGACATATTTTCTCTGATGTTTTTTTTTTTATGTGCAGCTACAACATCAGCTTAGCTTAGCAGTTAGAAAAAAGAGTGGAAGTGAAAGGAAAATGGCTTTACAGTGTGTTTGGTTGAATTTTTTGTCTCAATTTTAAATGTTAAAGGGATTCTAGTTCTACCCAGCTATATATAAAAAGCTGGTATTGGACTAATCCCATTAAAACGTATGTCCCAAAACCTAAGTTTGACATTTATGTAATATTACTACCATGATTTATTAGGCTGTCATTTGATATAACCCTTTGGTTTTAAGCACTAACAGCCTCAAAAACAGCTGACTTTGTTCCAGACAGATAAGCTTTCATAATCATCCCACAGTGAGAGACATCAGCTCATTTAAATGTATTACACTGTTTTTATTTTTGGTTTGGGTTTTTTCTTCTTAACTGAGCAAATGGATGCTAGCACTCACAGTCACGAATCAGCTGTGTGGATTCTGTTATAACAGGAGGGGCTGCAGCTTCTCCCATGAGCTGACGTCTGAGCATAACCAAAGACTTCTGAGGCAGCATGAGCTGGAGAGCCTGAGCCGAGAGGAGCTGTGCACCCTGCTGCTGCAGAGTGACCACACACTCCTTCCTGCTGTGAGTCTTACTACCGAGCACTCTTAAGTTGAATTTCAATCAATACTGGATCTGCTGATCAAGCAGCCTTTCTTTAGACACATTTTCTTGTCATGCTGATATCCAGCTCAACCTTCCCACCAACTTCACAAAATACAACAATATTAATTAAAAAGCTTGAGAGAGTTTTTCTGTTGCAAACAAGTTAATAAGAAAATGATCCCACATTGACCGATGACCTCAGTAAAAATATTCCCAATACGTCTAGGATCTTGGGCACCAGTTTCACATTTTATTTATTTAGATAGCATTTTGCTAACTTTAATTTATCGAGCTTTTATTGCTGTGATAAAGCAAAGTATGGTTTTGGGTTATACCTACTTACATGTGGGTGCTACATGTCCTCAGTTGCTCAGTCAGATCCGCCTCTTGCTTATAGCTAGTTAACATAAATAATGGATATAACATTGGCCATATCCATCTTTTATATACAGGCTATGATTGTAACCATCTTTTCTTTTCTTCTCTCCATCAGATATGCTACAACTACAACAATGGTGATGGAGAGTTCAGCAGGTGTCGGGATGGTGATGGTTGCAGGAGGCTCCACATCTGTGAGAACTACATCAGCCGTGAATGCAGCTGCTGGAAGAACCACGATTTTAATGCTCCACAGCCATTCAGAGCTTTGAAAGTTAGAGGCGTACCTGACACACTCTTTCAGTCCTTGAAGGCTGCTTATGCAAATAAACAGGCTTTGAGACTGGCTGGAACCAACAGGGAAGATAGAGTCCACAGAGGAAACTGCTCCAGTGGTGAAGTCTCTGCTAATGACAACAACACTGATGAAAACAGTCCTTTTGGTAAGAGCAAAAAGCGGCCACGCCATTGGGATAGAGGGAAACACGGTAACCCGGTCAACCGAGAAAACGCCCGTTTCTCAAGTGACATTCATGCAGCTGACGATGAAGCTGCAAAAGCCAACAAAGGGCACAACAAGAGACAGAGGACCATTAGAGGTAAATCTGGAAACACTTCTATGGGGAGATGAACTAAAACTGCTGTCTAAACAAGGTGTGTGAAATATCTCCTGTTTCTTTCAGATAAAACAGGGATCTGCATGTACTTCATTAAAGGTCACTGCAAACATGATGGTGAGAAAGTCATGGTTAGTAAGTGTTTGAGGCTTTAATGTAGTTCTTTCTTGACTTTGACCAGCTGTCTTTCTTCTTTCTCCTTAGATCGATGTTATAAAGCTCATGACAAGATGCCGTACCGATGGCAGGTCCAAGATGGAGTCCAGTGGACTGATTTGCCCGACAATGAGACAATTGAGAGAGACTACTGTGACCCCAGTAACTCATACAGGTACTCACACAATTTATTTTACACAATCTGTTACGGTTTGGAGGAGGACTCAAGCGCAGGACTCCGGGCTCAGATGCACACAAGAAAGATTTATTTACAATTCACCAGGTGTGTATACAAGAAGGTGCGGGGGGGGTCCAGGGGAAAAGCACGCATTCTTAAATACAACGCACAAAGGAAACACACTTAACCCGACTTGCAGTAGCTTGGCTTCACTAATGCGTGGTAGACAACGATCCAGCGAGGAGCAGCAGTCACCTCCTGGCTTAAATGCTGATCATCTTCATGAGACCCAGGTGTCTCATCTCCCGAGGGCGTGAACCCACGGTGAGTCCGCCCCGGCGAGAGAGAAGAGGAGAGAGAGAGGAAGAGAGACAGTGCAGCTGATCCGCCTGGCCGTGACACAATCATCTCAATGTTTTTAGATAAAGTGGAACTATTAAGCTTTTCCATATTTTCTTTCATATATACACTGATAAAATAACAGATGCTCATTTTAAACTTTGACAAAGTTTAAAAAAATAATAATAATAATTTGAAACTTTAACATAATTGTAAAACAAAGAGAAAATATGAGGTGAGACAAGATTTTCTGTTGCTACAGGAAAATCCTTTCATTGAGTGTTTCAATGCACAAAGGTTTTGGTAGAACTGATGTTAATACTTTCTTGATTGTTTTTTTGCAGTAGTACCAGCCCGGCCGTGCACTTTGACACGATGACGTTTGGACAGAACAAAGTGCGTCGACTCTCGACAGAAAACTCGGTGATCAAGCCGACCTTCATCCACACCACCGAGTGGCTTTGGTACTGGCAGGATGGGAGTTGGAACATGTTTGCATCCGCTGTGAGTAACTACAGAGTGTTGACAAAAATTTTGGCAGATTGCTAAAAATTAACCCATAAGGACCCACAACATTTTTTTTTCAGGACAATTATGAGTGATGTCAATCATACAAAATGGACCACCTTTAACACACTTCTGAAGCTTTTTAAATAATAGCTCCAGAAAACTGTTTCTGGTTGTTAGTGATGATGTATGAACCCTGCTTTTGGGTCCAAACTTCTACTGTGTTCATTACATGTTTTAATGCTTCTCATCTTGTTCTGTTTAATCTGAACAAGCCCTTAAAAATACTCAGTGATCACTGTCGACCTCTCTGCATTTTTATTAGCACCGTTCATATGCAGCATGTTTTAAACGTGTGTGTATGTGAGAATGCGTGTGTCATGGGGGTGCATTTGTGTGACCTCCTGCTCACCAAAATGATCATAAAGCTGGAAGCTTACAACACAAGAAACAGATCTTTCATATAGGATGTATCTACAATAAAACCTCTCCCAGCACAGAGTGGCTGGAGAGGTGGTGAGACAAAGGAATGTCTTTGATCACACAGTTTGAATCAATGTAGAGATGGGAAGCATAAAAATGACAACATTTAACAATTCACTTTAACATTTCCCTCCAGCTTTTGTTATTTTTATGCTCCAGATTATTCCTGTGTAGTATTTTCTCACTACTTGTTTTTGACAGTGTCAGTGTAGATTTAGATGTCACACAGCTCCTGCCGTCATTCACCTCCTATTGCAGCAAAGGGTCACCATTAATACATGTTCTAAACTACTATGTTCTTCCATCTCATACACAGTAAACTACATCCTGCAAGTAAACAAATGAATGTCAACAGTCAAACACGAAGAATCAACATTCTCAAATCATATGTCACTACAATCCAGCTGTATACAGGCATTCAAACACATCAGTTGATTTTACTGTTTGTCCATGTGAATCTCAGCTATCTTCAAAGCTGTAGCTTCGTCAACACTCCTCTTTATGACCCCTATCAACCCCCCAAATCTTCTCACTGTAGGCATCCAGTGGGGGTTAGAGTCAACTGGTGAATCATCTGCACTTACAACTCTTCTCCTTTCCTGTTGTCACTGCAGAAAAAGATTTTGTAAAGGAAATTGGATCAAGTTGTTTATGATCTTCTCCCCCCTTTTTGAGTCATGTCCACCCATGGCTCAAAACTTCAACCAGCTCAGAGAAGTTGACACGATGTAAATGTAGACAAAAGGCTCCTCTGTTTACATCTCTCCCTCACAGAAGGCTTCTCTGCAGAGCATCAAATCTGCATGGCAAAGTGACACCTTTAGATGATCTTCATCCTTGGGAAAAGTGGTGTCAACTATCTCCCAGTCTCCTAGCATCTGTGCTTCACACAGAACCACAATTCCATCGCTGGTCCCCCGCTGCGCTGTCACTTTTGGAGCTTGGCACGCTCCCTTCATCCCTCAGTTTCTGTTCCAACGCGCTGACGATTTAAGGCAGAGCACGTCGTACACCTTAGTTGTCTTCTTCAACGTCAACGTCGAAACTTTATTTAAGATTTTGCTGTGCGAAGTCTCCTCATGACGATCTTCTGGAAGCCCAGTGATGCAACCCACTGTGGTTTTTCAGCTGTCCTGCAGATGGTCCCTGCTTCTCACTGGTCCTCTTGAAGCGTCTCTCCTGGCCTCAGCTTCCATCTTGTCGACGCTCTTCCTTACTCGCTTCTCCTCATGGTACCTGCAAATTTAAAATTGACACTCTTCTTGTGCCACACGGCTCTCGTCATGTGTCAACTCCACACAATGAGACATGCACAAGAATGCTGCACATTCTCTTCTAAAAAAAATTCTCCAGGGTTTCCCTCTTGGAGCAGCTCCACTCCAAACCTGTAACCCTGTCAATACATTAGTCAGAGGTTAAACATTAAGATTGTTTAACTCTCAGCTGCACCCGGAGCCTGTATCCTAGAAGACAAAGTCTTTAAGTTAAAACAAACTCACATTTGCAACCAACTGTAGCATAAGATTAATAAAGTATTCAGCATCACAGAGACAAGTATAATTGCAGGGTTACTCTAAACTCATTAAACCCCTGATTTTTCCATAATTTGCTCCAAATCATTGAACATCTGCACTTCATTCCACATTGTAATCAGAATCAGAATCAGAATACTTTATTGATCCCTGGGGGAAATTATTTTTTGTTACAGTGACTGGACAGTGACTTTTCTTAAGTTTGTCACTCACCATGAGCTCAATAGTGGTCAGATAATAAGCCCCATGTAACTATTGAGTAACCACTGCACATCTGTTCAATCGTCACTTGTCTGTCTGTGCTGAATCCTTTACAAGCAGCTTTAAAGGAAAAACAAACATTAGCCAAACACACGGATCATCCTGGAGGTCGGGCCTAAGTCAACAGGTTCCAGAGGTGCTGTAAAAGGTCATAAAGTTAACACTCGGCTGTAAAAAACAGAAGTAACACTGGTTTCAACACAGTATCACACTGTATTCACATCTTCCCCTGTAATTTTCAACATTTTCTCAACAACACAGTGTAATTTCATCACCAACACACAGCCTGTAACCACAGTTTTCTTGACACACAAAATCTCAGTAATCCTGTGGTAGAAAAACATTACTAAGTTGTGTGTCCTGCTGTAAATCACATGATCAAATCACATGATTAACCCTCTGCTGTAGAAAAGAAATGTAAATGTTAGTGCTGCGCAGGTGTATACACTCTTTCTCACAGTGATCTCTGTGAGCAACACAAGGTGATGAATAACACCTTTGGTAAATTCAAAAACATCCAGAAAAATTACAACTAAAAAGGTTAAATTTGCAGAGTTCACATAGTCATGTGACCCAAGTTTCCTCCTGTGGTGTCCTCCTGCTCCTGCAACAAGAGGCACACACAGAGATACATCCACTCCTTTGTCATCTGAATGGGGTAACCTTGAATAGTGGTGTCAGTCAGTCTTGTCAGCTTTTACCAGTCAGTCAGTTCCCCATTTTTTTATTTTCACTCATTATTCATTCATCGATTGTTTCTTTTTTTCTTTGCTGATAGTGGAACCTATCGTCGCATTTTGTTTCCACCCTCAGCAAAACGACGACATTTAAAAAAGAAACAGAATTTAGACTGGATTACCTCGCTGAATCCTTTTAGAAAGGGACTCGCTTCCTAATTGTCCCAAACAAGTGGCTTTCTCCTGAGCCCGTTCTAATTTTGGAGAAAGTCACTTTGCAACCGTTCGCAACAACATGTTGTAGTTCTCCCTATTCAAACGTTCAGATCCTCTTAGATGAGAGAGAATATTAAACAAAACTTTCAGTGCACTATGAAAGTAACAAAATAAAAAGTAAGGGGGGGGATCATACCAAACCTAATTGGCAGGCTCAACCTTGCAACAAAAGACAAATCATCAGCTAGTTTGATCTCAAACATTCATCCAATCAGCCACACACAACACACAGCATAACCCTGTTGTCTCATCACATAATGAGTTTCTTCTCATGTAACCAAATGTGTGCCATGTTAAAACTTCTTCACACACCAGAAACTCAACAATCAGCTCACTCAGTCAAAACCTCTCATCAGCATTCTGTTTTCTCCCTATGATGCAATCATTTGTCCTCCTATAATATTCAGTCCACTAGTCTATGTATCACTTTTCATCTTACTAGTGACTTGGACATGATGACAAACAGAATCTCATGCTTAAGATGCTTTCTGGTCTTCATGAGTGTCATTGTATGTGTATGTGGGGTTGGTATGGTTAATGCTGTTTGTGTGTGTGTTTTTTTGTGTACCTTTCTCATTTTGTAGTCCAGACTCCTTCTCAATTTTCCCACTTAAAGCAGTTTCCTTTTTTCCCAGGATTGCTTACCCAAATTTTGATTTCCCACACTAAACGACAGCCTTCCTCTGTGTGCTCACCTGCTCCTCTCACTCCGTTCTCCTCTCCCACTTTGCAGTCCAATAGCAGTCAGTTCTTTTCAACTTTGTCCTGTGTTTTCCCACTGTCTCATCTTGCCATTTTACTCCAAACGTGGCAAATGTCACTCAGACAGTCTCCTCAAAAGTCATCTTCACACACAGTGAAGTTGCAGCTTGCTGGAAACGTATCTCCATCCATCCATGCTGATGCTGTTTGCACACACTGCAGCTGGACCTCTCTGCTCAGGACTCTGTTGTTGTAAAAATTACAACATTTAACAATTCACTTTAACTATTTCCTTTGCCTTGTTTGGTCTCATCCTTTTCAGCACAACCTCACGTGTCTGAATTTACAGTTATGTTTTCATTTTGACATACTTTATTAACACAATTGATCTAAAATCAGACAAAAAACATAAAATCCAAGTAGAAAAAGTTATATTTTTTACTGTAACAACCAAAAACATGTTTATCGAATCATATTTCATAACTTTAAAAACAAATATAAATTGTCAGTTTTAAAATCATATGCACAAGTTTTGCAAACAAAGTTATTTGCAGCCTTTACCCTTTTTTAAATAACCATTTCAAACTATTTACAGAACAATCAGGTGTTCTCATTCAATAAGATGCCACACAAAATATTTCTGTCCACTATAAAGGAAACATCACAGCCTGATACCTGCAGGTCTGACATAAGGTCATAACCAGAGAGGTCTCGCTGCGCTGTCCTTAGACAGTAAACGTGACGAAACTATTCGGGAAAAACGCCGCGTATATATAGTTTGTCATGACTCTGGTTTTACGTGGCCTAGCAACACAATTTAAAAACTGGTATATATCACCTTGTTGCTTTGTCATCTTAAAGTGGTAATATGTCTGCATTTATAAATTAGATAGAAGCTATCTGCAAACCTTAGCCAATCTCTCTGTGGGTGATTAGAGTCAGTCCAAGTCTGACTGCAACTGGTTTCAGTAAGTTTGCCTCCTGTCAGACAACCTTGCGCTCAAACGTGGTCACAAGTGTGCAACATCCTCAAGCTCTGGGCAAAAATGTATTCACTACAAGTTGTAGTTGGTCACAGAATATGAATAAATAAATCAATAAATCACCAGGCAGCCACCAATTTTTACTCCAGTCTTATTTTTACTTGCGTGATAAGCCACGCTGTCAAGCTAAGTGTGTCCAGTGTTGGATGATCGTCAGTTGAATGTAAACACGAGGGTCCATGAAACCAGCTCTCTTGTTCATAGTATTTCCAGAATATATTACCATGCTAAATATTACGATACTATGGTGTATCAATTTTTCCCTCCCTATGGTTGGCAGTTGTCCTTTTCTTATGAACTGTTCATTGTTCATATGCCGATGCAGGTTTCCTTCAAGGTTAAAAACACCTTTACTGTTCTCACTTTGCAGATTGGTGGACACGAAGCAGCAGACATCAACAGTGCAAAGCTGGAGGAGAAGTTTCTGGCCAATGATAAAGACGTGGTGGAGTTCACTGCTGGTTCACAGTCATATTCACTCAGTTTCCAAGGTAAACAAAGAATAGGGAACCATGCATACTTCTGCATGTTAAAATATAAAATCAGCTTTATAATTGTTGTGCAAGTTTAAACTTTTTTGCCCCTCAGACATGATGCAGACAAACAAGCGTTACGGCACCAAAAGGCCTGTTTGTAGACGGCCACGGTTTGTCTCTGCTGCAGATGCCCTAAAAAAGAAAGTCAGGTATGTCATCCCCAAAACAGCTCCACCAGACTTCCTTACTTTTTTCTAAATTCATTAGATACTTGAACTTTCTTGTCATCTTTATTCCAGTTGGAGATGGGATTTGATTTTTACACCAAGATCTCTAGAGACCAGCATATTGTCTTGAATCTAACGTAATTTCTATTCAATACTGATAGGTAACCATGCCAAAGTACTGATATTGCCTTGGTCTTTAGAGTCAAACAAAGCTCACTAACCAAAAGCAAACAAATAAAAAACAATATTGTTGTTGTAGCGTACAGCTTCATAAAGCTTGACAAGAGCTGATGCTGGATCCAGGAAAGTTGTAAACTTAATTTTAAACAAAAATAAAATTGGCCTTGTTTTTTCAACTTCTATAAAAATGACATCATTAAAGTAAATTTGAATTTCTCTCTGCAGAAGGTCTTCAGTTCAAAGCTCCACTTCAATACCAAAAACCTGGGACAACACACAGATCCCTCAAACAGGATGCTCGGTATTGTAAAAAACATAAAATATAACTATTCTGTTGTAAGTCACACTCTTAAATTTAGATGTTTTCGAAATTAATTGTATTCTAATAATATTAATAACAGAAGTGAGCAAGTAAATTTACTGACAAATAGACATGAGGACAAAATGGTGTTGGCGTTGAAGATGCGAAGCTTTTCATTGGACGGGATGAATTCATTTATTAGAAGGACAGCTCATAAAAACGAGTTAGAAGCAGAAAAAGACAGTTTCATACGAGGTTTTCTGCTTCTTCATGTTCGTTCACTTGAAGGTTTTATTCCTGTTTTTTATGGGGTCTTTTTTTCTTGTGACAAATTCTTAAATAATTTGAAAATGAATGAAGTGCAGCCGTCTGGCTAATCTGCCGTGAGAACAGAGTTTCTGTTGCAAATGGTGTAGGAGAAGAAAAAAACCAGTTTTTAAAAAACGTTAAGTAGCAATTTATTCAAAGTAAACAAGCTAAAACATACAATTTAGCATTGCTAGGCATTTATTTCTTTTTTGTAAACAAAAGTACTTTAGTATTTTTGAATAGGCTAAAAAAGTATATTACATTAGGGCAGCCTAATTATTATTTCATTATTATTAAGAAACACATTAGCTGATTGCTGTTAAGCATTGGGATGGCAATTTGTCCCTATTCGATTCAATTTAATTTAGTTTTATTTTATTTATATAGCACAAAAAAGTCACCTTAAGGCATTTTATATATTAAGTTAAAACCTTCCAATAACACAGAGAAAACCTCAACAATCAGACAACCCCCTAAGAGCAGTGTTGGGGAGTAATGGAATACATGTACCGCCGTTACGTATTTAAAATACAAAATATGAGTAACTGTATTACTGTTTATAAAGGTGGTATTCAGAATACAGTTACTTTGCTAAAATAAATGGATTACACAGCCGTCTTTTCCTGTTTCATATGTTAGGCTGTCCCCTCTCTATTTTTGGTAATTCCACGCCGGTGGAAACCCAAACAAAACCCGCATTAAGAGGCTCAAACGTCTCATTCTCGCGTCTCATAGTCACGTGAAGAAATATTTTTTTAAATGATTTAATATGAAGGCAACAGGCAGAGTGTTGCAGGCATCGCCCTAAAGAATGTAGCTTCATGGGCAGTGTAGTCCGTGCTGCAGGGAGAATGGACTGTCATACCCGTTATGTGTCTGTGAGCGCGAGGAGGGAGAAAAAGGAAAAGTACGAGCTGTCATCGAGCAGAAACAGGAGCTGGAAGCATGTAAATATAATAATAACCACTGAAGCCAAAAAGAGAGCCTGACGAGCCCAGCTGTAAGTAAGCTGTTAAGACTCGACTGTGTTCGTGTTTTCCTCCGAAACAATAAGTTCGGTTGGAGCAGCCTTCCAACGCCTCTCTCTGTCTTTCGCTAGCAAAGTTGACCCAGACAACAAAGTAAAGCTAGTTTTCATCTACGAGCCCGACACGTACCCGACGTATTAGCCAGAGGTCCCTTTACTACGGTTCGGAGCCGCTGACCTGTTTTATATACGTGTGGAATAGTTTTCTATACGAGATCGCTGCAAAAAGTGCAGCCTTACCTAATGTCCACCTACTGTTACTCATTTATATTAAGATTTAAACATCTAGTTGGTGTTGGTATGGCGAGTAACCTTCAGTAATAAATCACCCAGCAATAGTACATTCATGTAGTTGTAAAAAAGCATGATAATATATTAAGTAATCCAAAGTATTCAGAATACATTACTCTCATTGAGTAACGTAATGGAATACGTTACAAGATACAATATGTAATCTGTAATCTGTAGTGGAATACATTTTAAAAGTAACCTTCCCAACACTGCCTATGAGCGAGCACTTGGCAACAGTGGGAAGGAAAAAAACTCATTTTTAACAGCAGGCTCAGGGAGGGGCGGGGCCATCTGCCATGAGCAATTGGGGGTGAGAGGAAAAGCAGAGAGCAGAGTACTTGTTATTTTTCGTTGTCATTGTGAATAAAAATATTTAATGTGCCTGTTTTTTTTTTTCATACAGCGAATCTCACTCCAGCTCAGCTCAGAAGAATTTAAGGAGGCTGAAGCTCTTTTCTATAAAACCATGAAAGACTGTGACATCATCAACATTGAGAGGATTCAGAACAAAGCTCTATGGGAAGCCTTTCAGTTGTACGTATTTCATTTAATGTGCACCCATCTTTCACTGTGAGTATAAAGTTACTGTACCACTGCTGCCAGCTAAAGTGAGGTTATGGTTGTGTAACTGATATGACTGAGCTTTTTATTAAAGTGTATATAGTATTACCAGCTGTCAGTTCGCTGAGGTTTGCAGGCATTCATTTATGCACCGCTCTGTTAAAGCCCTGCATTTCATTCAGGATTCATTCAGAGATGGCCTCACATTTGAACAGTGATGGGAATAACAATGTTCTAAGTAACGGCGTTACTTTTTTCAGTAACGAGTAATATAACTAATTACTGCTACCTATCATTACAACGCCGTTACTAAAATGCGGTGTTACTATTTTTCAACAAACAGACGGTTGAAGCTGTGTTCAGGTTACCGCACCTTATATCAGTTGCACGGAAGTAGCTGTAAGTAATCTGGACGCTACAGCTTTGAGCAGCTGTGCGCGCTCAGATTACTTACTTTTTGGCAAAACACCTGGAGCTAAGTGGGCAAAACAATCGCATGAGTGCTGCTGCTTGACTGAGGAAGAATGAAGTAGTCGTAGTAAGCCAATCACACGACTACTTCAAGATGACAAAGCAATAAGGTGATATATACCAGTTTTTAAATTGTGGTGATAGGCCACGTAAAACCAGAGTCATGATAAACAAGATATACGCGGCATTTTTTCCTCAATAGTGTCGTCACGTTTACTGTCTAAGGACAGCGCAGCGAGACCTCTCTGGTTATGACCTTATGTCAGACCTGCAGGTATCAGGTGTGATGTTCTTCTTTATAGTGGATAGAAATATTTGAAGTGGCACAAATAGTTTGTGTGGCATCTTATTGAATGGAGAACACCTGATTGTTATGTAAATAGCTTGAAATGGTTATTTAAAAAAGGGTAAAAGGTAAATGGCTGCAAACTGCAACAACAATTTTGTTGTTTGCAAAACTTGTGCGTATGATTTTAAAATTTACAATTTATACTTGCATTCAAAGTTATGAAATATGATTCATTAAACATGTTTGTGGTTGTTACAGTAAAAAAGATAACTTTTTCTACTCAGAGTTAATGTTTTTATCTGATTTTAGATCAATTGTGTTAATACAGTATGTCAAAATGAAAACGTAACTGTAAATTCCAACATGTGAGGTTGTGCTGAAAAGGATGAGACCAAACAAGGCAAAGGAAAGAGTTTTTCAAGGTGAAATGTAGAGGGAGAATTGAAAGTAGTCAAAAACAGCCAATAATGCTCTAAAATTAAACATTTTTTTTAAAGTAACGCAATAGTTACTTTTCCTAGTAATTAATTACTTTTAGAATCTTGTAACTCAGTTACTTTTTTGAAGAAGTAATTAGTAACTATAATTAATTACTTTTTCAAAGTAACTTGCCCAACACTGCATTAGACTGTAGAATACTTTGGTATACAGAGTTCATGGTTGACTCAGTGACTCCAAGGTGCTCAGGTCCTGTTGTTGTGTAAAAGACCAAACAAACCCAAATCGCCGCGCCTCCACCACCGAGCTTGAAAGCTGGTATGAGGTGTTTGTGCAGAGACTCTGTTTGATGTGCACTGTGGCCAGACATCTCCGCTTTGGTGTCATCTTTCTGAAGGACATTATTCCAGAAATCTTGTGGTTTGTTCAGATGCAATTTTGCAAACCTGAGCTGAACATTTAAGCTATATTTTCAGAAACAGAAGCTGCGTCTGTTGTTTATACAGCATTTAGCTGCATTTAGCATTCAATGTTATCCTGCTTTCCACTTGTGGCTACAGAGACTGCTGCTGCAGATGTATATAGTATGTATACTGTAGATGTCTATAGTATATTTATTCACTTTATATTCCCGCACTTACTGTACATGTACCAGTTAGAGTTAGTTTTTTCCTGCCTCCTATTTCAAGGCAGAAAAATCAAATGAAGAGCAAAAACAGAGATGGAAAGGTGATGGAGAAAAAGCTTTTTCATGGCACTGACTCCAAAGATGTAGACGCCATCTGCCACCACAACTTTGACTGGAGAATCTGTGGAACTCATGGAACGGCTTATGGGAAAGGTGAGTTAAAACAGTTATTGAATATTCAAATTATGTTTTCAGAAAAAATACGTTTAAAATCAAAAATTCCAAACATTCTCATTTCAATCTTGCAGTCTTTTCTGTGACACCCTTGGGTGCTGGGAAGTGATACTTTAAAAAAAATAAACCAAAGGCTTTGTTTGTCTCTGTTTATCACTGAAGAAAATAATGCGTAGCCCTTTGTCTTTTCCCACAAATAAAGTTTTGATAATTGTATCTTTTGGTGTCTAAACACAGGTAGTTACTTTGCCCGTGATGCCAGTTACTCCCACAACTACACCGGAGACACTGATGTGAGAGCCATGTTCATCTCACGGGTGCTGGTGGGAGACTTCACCATAGGGTCCTCTGATTATCGCCGACCTCCTTCCAAGGATGGAGGGGGCATAAACTTCTATGACAGCTGTGTAGACGATGTAATGGACCCCTCCATATATGTGGTGTTTGAGAAGCACCAGATCTACCCCGAGTACCTGATAAAGTACAAGACCACAAACCTACTTAATGTGCACAATGGCAATGCAGCAACTAAAGCAGGTTTTATTCAAAGTACTAATAATTCTTGTGTCATTGCTTAACAAAAGTGGTGTAAAAGGGGGTAGGCAGTGTCTTGAAATGGAAATTTTATTTTGAAGGAGCTTAATAGAGTTTGTGCTGAATAATTTAATCATATGCAAACACATACCTGAAAGCAAAAAAGCACAAAAAAATCTTATGTAGAGATAAATATAAAAAAAGAAGCAGTAGATATTAATGACAGATATGTTCACAATAGAAAAGAACTCTTACTTACTTCCAGACGATTAGAAAATGTGAATTGTGAGCTGGTCTGTAGTTAATGTAGATTAACAGTTTATGATTAATTAGCTTCTCAGTCAGATGATATTAAAACATTTTAGGTTAAATTCAAATGATGGGGAAACCTTGATGAAATTACTGAATGATGAATGATTTATATTTTTACATTTTCCTGTTGCACTTTATTATTTCTATTTCTGTTTTTGTTGTTTTGATGCTGAAGTTTTTCCACCTTGACCAAATGTAAAATGATTTTCTACAAATTGCCAGCATTTCCTCTCACTTTGTATTTATGAGCATATTGAAGATGAAGAAAAAGGTTGGCACGATCCCATTTGCTGAGGTGTTGTTTATAGAAAATAGACCAGCCTTTATACAGAATAATTAAAAAACAGCAGGACTGAGTTAACCTTATCAGAAGAAAAAACCAAGTGCTTTCCTCATGATTATCTTCGGAGGTTTTATATGTCTGCCACATTTAGTGTTAATTATGCAAACAAATCATAAAATGTCAATTAATGATAAAGGACGCTGTCAGATTAGACCATTAGAGTCAGAAATTCTTATAATGACTTGTCCGAGACACATGATGGATTATGTGTTGGTGCCTGATGGTAGCAACAAGAAGCAGGGACCAACTTTTGAGAACATGAATAGAAACAAACAGCAGCTCTGTGTTTGGAAAAACCTAAAAAAAAAAAGAGAAAAATATTAAAAGGGAAGCTCAAAGACGATGCTGTGGTGGCTCTTAATCTCTTTAAGATCGTCCCATTGTGCACTACAGAGCGCACACCACTGCTCTTGGAGTCACGAAAACATAAAGGTTGCGTTAAAACTTGATATCTGATATAGCATTACACTTCTTTCAACTCAGACAAAGTCCATTGCACTACTTTCAAGCACTTTGCAACCTGTCCTCTAATTTGGTCATTTCTTCTGGATGCATTTCTCTTGCTTGTATATATTTATTTTGTCGTATGTACTCCTTTTGTCTGTTTTTTATTCTTGCCGTCCTACTGTTTCTATTTTTATTTCATGCACAGTTGATGTGGAGAACCCACAATTTGTTTTGTACATGCACAAAGAAAATAAAAGGCTATTCTATTCTAAAAAGGAGGCATGCCTAACTGGCATCATTTAGTTATCAACTATGATGGTAACGTCAAATGAATTCAGCTATGTTGCAACTGCAAGCAACAAAGTTGCAAAACACACAACAGTCCTGGGAACTGTTGGCTAACACATGGAGGTCTGTGCCACTTTTTAAGAATCATCAGTGACCCACTGCCAAAGTGATCACGCTGGATGATGTTTGCTGCAATGGCTCCAGACTCTAAGTCGTGTGCTCAGTGTGAGAAAGTGGCGACAGCAGCAGCAGATTTGTCAAATGCGAGAAAGGCGATAATGCATAATGTATATTGAATCATGCTGAGTATGCACAGGTGGCGATGCCTGATTATTAATGTCACCAATGTTGGGTCCTTACTTAAATAATGTCTTTCACATTACTCCTTACTTTTCCTAAAATGATGCAGTACCTTACTTAATTACTTTACTGGAGAAAGTAATTGGTTAGCCATTTCACGCTCCTGCACTGTCTGTCACGATCCTGGGTCTTTTGACCCAGCGTTTTGAGTTTCAGTTTATTTTGATGTTTATGGTTAAGTTCATTAGGTTATCTAAGTTCATTTGCTTATTAGTTTCCCCTTGTGTTTTCAACCCCTGTTAAGTCTCCCTTGCCCTTCATATGTTTCATGTCTGTGTGTGTAATGTGTGTATGTGTTAGTCACCATAGGGAAATAGTTCCTCTGCATTTAACCCATTCACCCAGTGAAGCAGTGGGCAGCCACCAATGCATCATTATCATCATTATGTTCATGTGTGTCAGCTGTTTTCCCCATGTGTTCCGACTTCCCTCATTAGCCTCCTGTGTGTATTTAGTCAGTGTGTTTTCAGTCGTTCCTTGTCTGCTCGTCTGCGTCATGTCTTCAGGTATCCATGTCAGTTCACCATGTTTAAGGTTTTTTTTTTTTCCCCCATGTTTTAGTTCACCCAGTTTAGGTTATTGTTTAATTTCATGCATGCCCTTTGATTGCATTTATTTTGCCAGCCTTAATGTGGTTGAAATTATAAATATTTAAACTGCTGGGAAGACTGAAGAAGCATTTAAAACCGTTGCAAAGATTATATTATAGGAAGGCCCAACTACAGAGCTCCGGGTATAACTCAGGCTTAGATGAGAGTACTTTACACTCTCATGTCACACTTGTAGTTGGAAGCAACTATGAGGCTAGAACACTGGGCTCAATGGTCAAGAAAGCGCTGAGCTTGACCTGGGAGGCCACGGACGCACCAAACGCTTGGAAGGCAGTGGAAGTAGACATGTGGTATGTTGCGTTTTCCTCAGAGGAGTAAAACAAACCTGAAGAGGATTCACCCATGGAAGAAAGAGGACAGATCATACCGACACACAAAGACTCTGGTAGCCCCAATCCTGGGTTTCAGCACCACTGATGCACGACAGACCCGACCACATGTTTGCACTTTTCAGTACACTTCTTTATTGTGGCTGTCAACTTACACACGCTGCTGCAGCTTTGCAGCGGATCCACATATTTCAAGATTTTCAAGAGCTTGGCTTCCCAAGTCCCTGATTTGGGAGTTGAAAACAGAGTGAGAGGTTTCAGCTACTTGCTGGTGGCGGTGGACTGCTTCACAAGCTAGGTGGAAGCAATCCCATTCAAAAATGAATGAGTGCAGACTATGGTGTCCCAAGGAGCATATGCTCTGACAATGATTCACATTTGTCCAATAAAGAACTGGCAGAGGTAGAAAAGGCTCTAGGTATAACACACCGATTTGTTTACCACCCTGCCTCACAAGGGGTGGTGAAAGGGCAAATCAGACTTTGAAGAGAAAAATTGTGGCATATATTAGGACAGTAAACTGAGATGGGTGGACACTCTCCCCATTTTTCTTATGTCAATGAGAACCTCTCCGGGTGCGCATACACACCTGATGCCACATGAGTCGCTGAGAGGCAGGCCAATGCCTGGTCCAACCCTGAGAGGGAGGTCGTATGACCTCTCTGGATGTTTGGCAGGTGAACTGTGATGAATATATGACAGCGTAGACTAAGCGAGTTTTTAAGTTTTGTTTAAGCAGGTGCAGCTGGCTGAGCCTGAGGAAACTACAACTACAGCAATAAAGGCTGGTGACTAGGTGCGGGTGAAAGTTCACAATGGAAAGTGGCTTGAACCCTGGTGGACTGGACCCTATGAGGTGATTAAATGCACATCCAGTCTAGTGCTGTCCAGATAAAAGGTAAAGCTGGAGCTAATTATCACCACATGACACATTGTATACCTGCACAATCACCTTTGTAAACTCTGGCTGAGGGTTAGGCCTAATCAGAAACCGGTGAAGGCGCCAAACAAATAGACTGATCTGACTCAAAAATTGACCATTGCATGTCCTTGTTAGTATAAATGGCATGTTTCCTAGCTACTATAGAGTGCTGCGGTTGTTGTTGTATTCTGTGTGGTAGAAGCTTATTGAATAGACTGATAATAGCCGCTTTGTCCAAGGAGAAAGGCCTACCACCCTATCAGTTGCTGTTGTTTGGACAACAGGAGGAGTTAGAGAATGATGAGGAGGTGCAGAACAGTAAAAGCAGGGAGCCAAGGCTCTGAGGGCAATAGCTGGTGTGGGGTTGAAGGTTTGAAGCTTGTAGCTATTTGTTGTTAATGAACCATCAGACAGGATGGAGTACTGGCAGACATGAAGGGAACCAGTGGATTGAAAATCATCCTTAAATAGGAAAAGATCATACGACTAGGGCTGTTCGATATAACGATATATATCGGATGACGATACAAAAACGTCTATCGTTTCATTTTATGCTATAGTTTGTTTCGTGGTGTCGCAAAATAAACTGTTTACGGCAATGTTTTTTTCGTCATTTTGATGGTTACTGTAGTGGGTATATTAATTTCTTAAAGTTCTCTCTTTCTCTTATATTTAATACCAGAGGTGGGACCAAGTCATTGTTTTGCAAGTCTCAAGTAAGTCTCAAGTCTTTATCCTCAAGTCTCAAGTCAAGTCTCAAGTAATGTCAGGCAAGTCAGAGTCGAGTCTCAAGTCACTGGTGTAAAAGTCCGAGTCAAGTCACAAGTCTGAAACTTTGAATTTCAAGTCCTTTCGAGTCTTTAAAAAAAAAAAAGAAAAAATAATGTTGCAGTTATGCTAAATGTAAATATTAGACCATGTAATTTTAAAATCTGTGTTTTTCTCAACACATACAAAATAGTGAACTTAGAAAATATACACAAATTGTGAAATTGCACCTCTTTAAAATGCAGCTCAATTAAACCTAGCTCCAAGAATAATTTTCACCGACAGTTCTGAGATAAGCTGCATGTTATTCTTGGATGCGGTTGTAGGACCAGCTTTAAAATCGCATGACAAAAATATCATACACATTAAAAAAAACTGTATCACCAACGTAGCCTGGAAAACATTTGCTAGTTAGATGAAGTCAGCTATCTCATCGTAGCATATTTATATGCATATTTATAATCATACGGTTCTTGGAGTGAGTGCATACACTCATGAAGTTTAGTAACTTCAGGTCACTGCAACAAGCCCAGGTACAGTTTACCGCCGGATGGGTGCAGGACCTTGAAATGCACCGTGTAGAACGAAAGACCATCGTACGTATCATAAGTTTACCAGTCTCACAAATCGTCTTCATAAATACACATTCCTTAACCGTTTATTAATAGGACCTTTGAGCTCAACGGTAATTAATTAGTAGTGGAAATAATTTCTGGTAGCATCACAGAAATGTAGCAGTGACAATAATATTGTATGCTGTAATCGTACTGGACAATTAGTGATACAAAAACCCTGTTTTATCCTGTGAATAAAAGTATGTTTTTGTCAATGTACCATAATAACAGAAGCGAAACGCAATATTGTGTCAGGACAATTCACTATTTATGCACAATAAATAAAGGAGCATAGCGCGACAATTTCTGTTCAGCGCCAGACTTGCTTGTAACCTATATCACCAATTATGTTATGAAAATGACGTATTAACTACTAAAAAACACTGACCTTCGTGTAAATGCTTGGAGCAGACTAACCTGTGAGCTGGAGGGTTCTGGGACGTTATATTTGGTCTTTGAATGGCTGCAATCCAGGCCATCCGTCGCGTCTTTGTTACTTCGGAAACACGGCTCGAACAATTTCTCTTCAACGACATAATCCGATAACAACCGATCTCTTTACCCGTCGGCTTCTCGTGGCTGTCATGCGACCGGCTATTGCAGTTAATAATACAACAGCTTCTTGACATTTTTGTGTTTCTTTTTATCGCTGTATAACTGATTTCAATTGAAAGCCTGCGTGCGCTAGTACCGCTTGCCACGAGTTCCCAGAATCCTTTGCGGTTCTACCCGTGAATGACGTCACATTTTCAATCTCTATATAATATGCATGTTAAATTTTATATTTGGGGTAAAATATCAAGTCTTTTCAAGTAAACCGGTTCAAGTCCAATTCAAGTCCCAGGTCATTGGTGTAAAAGTCCAAGTCAAGTCACAAGACTTAGAACATTTTTTCAAGTCAAGTCTAAAGTCATAAAATTAATGACTCGAGTCTGACTCGAGTCCAAGTCATGTGACTCGAGTCCACACCTCTGTTTAATACAACCACACTACACACGGACAAGCGCCTGTTTTATGCACTGTCTTTAGCAACAAGGACTGCAACACCATCGCGTGTCCGCTTGTTTATGTTCCGCATAAACCTTTCAGAATAAAGCTCAAGATCCTGTTGAGACTTTTCAAAATAAACTGAATCACGTGAAAGAACAGATTATTTACGGATGAGAATTAAAAAAAGAGCCGCCAGATGCTAAAAAATAAACCTTAGACTCAAACGTTAGAACAGGCTTTTCCCCGCAGCACGCTGTGTAATAAATACTCACAAAGAAAATGGTGGCTGTTAAAACTTATGTCTAAAAATGTATAGTTTAATGCATCTGTTAAAACACTCGACTCCAGCTACATGACGCGCAGCTGGAAACACTTCCCGCAAGTCGAGCTGCCCGAGATTCACAGAATTTACAGAAAATGTTACATTTTTGTGATTTATATCGTTATCGGGACGATAGAATTCTTATATCGGGATATGAGATTTGTACAAATGTACAAACTAAGTACAATAATCAAACAAAATGACATATGTATGCATAAT